GGTTATACATAGCTGAACACCCAAGAGCGCAGTTTGACGTCCATAACGAATTTCAAAGCGATGTTTTGCTCTTGCGTAAGTAACGTAGGTAGATATGTTCTTTTCGAGCAATTATGTAAAGCGATTAAGTGGAGGGAGTGCGGCGTTTATGGTAAAAGTGTTACACGGCTTGTAACCATTCTGATGGTGACGCAACTCTGAGCGAATGTGTGCCGAAACTGCAGTCGAACCTCCGACTTACACTGTTACGTTACACTATTTAATATTAAAATATATCTATCTAGTTCTTTAATATATTTAATGTAATAATAAATAATATTGTCTATCTAAGTACGATTAGATACAGCCCTTTGTTTATACTGTACTCTAGATTCAATACGACGTCAACTATCTATGTATATATAATATATTTATACATAATTGTTACTCATGCCATCTAATTACGACCTTAATACATTATATTATCTAAATGAGGTAAATAATATTAAGTTATTTCACACTATAATATTATTGATACTTTAACAACAATAGGTTCTAGAAAACTATGCCAAGACCATATATTTAATAGTGAAACAAATTTGAATACAAAATGTATCTAAATGTACCGTTTATCAAAATAATTTATTAATATTATGACGAATATTTATTGTATACAAAATCTGTCAAAAAATGCGATTGCTTCTATAAGGATGTCATTTAATTAATTTATATACAGATGTACATTATTAGTTATTAATATATATTTGTTATAATATCAACAGTAGGAGTGTTAACGCTTGGCGATAAAGATTGCTGACACGTGACCACGATATCAAGAACAAATTTCAATTCAACAATACGCAGCGAAGTTGAAACAGATATGTTACGTGCGAATATAATACATATTACTATAAAAATAAAGTTTAATTTACATCAAATCTTACCACGAATGCTGTCGACATTGAACCCTAGCATTTGTTCTGCTAAAACAATTAGTGGCGCGTCGCGAATCAAATTAAACTATATAATAACAGCATACGTCAAATGAATAAAACAGATAGAAATCTTAATTTGGAATTTCACAATAACGTCTAGAGTATTATGGAAAAATAATTTCCTTCAAAAATATTATTATTAATAAAGATGTTGTAATGAATATTAAATTAATTTGGCAACCTGAATTCGATATTTAATAAATATTAATAAGTTTGCTCATCAACTTCTTATTCAAATTAGTCGAGAATGAACTCATGAATAAGTTCAAGTAGAACAATCAAAGTTCAGCTAAATTTACCTGCAAATTAGCACTCGATTAGTTGTTTGTTTGTTAACATATAAAGGTCAATATTAATATTTGGGTTATATTATGTATGCGGGGGTGTATCTTGATATTTACAATTAGTGTCAAACATCCAAAGCGCTAATGTCGAAGCACAAAGCCATCGATGAAGCAATACGACTCAAGGCAAGCAACGTATTAAAATACTAAACAATATTCGTATTGGGAAAGCATGATGCCTTGACTTGTAGTGATACACCATAATTCAGTGTCCTCTCTTAGAGGTCGGAAGTAAGGGTCTGAGGCGACTTACCTCATAGTGAAAGGGATTTTTGAATACGTCACTGCATATTAGATAAATCAAGCGGTAAGATACATGTTCTTATTTAATTATGTATATAGATATTAAGAGAATAAACAGGAATTTTCTTAGGTATATCTACAATAAGTTGCCCACGTATTCTCTTAGAATTATATGAGTATTGACGTGAATAGATACTAAGTATCAAGGCGCTAATAATGCCATGACGACTAGTGTTACAGATGTGTTCATATGAAATAGGAAACACCAAACATTACATATACTGTCAATACATAAATAGATGCAATGGAAATAAAATGTTAGTACAACACGTTATCACATAAGCAACATTAGCTGGGTATATCAAAACAAATGTTTGTTTTGTGCTGAGTGTACGATATGAACAACAAAATGGCGCCTACATACGGCTAGGAATCTTAATTCGCTAACGCGGCATAAGAGGAAATAATCCGAGCTATAATTGTATACAAGTGACGCTGGCTGGCTTCTCTCCCACGATCGACAGTTATTGTTTGCGCTGCACTCGACTGTTTCAGCAACTTCTAGCTATTGGGAAACGTTAGCGCTGACGACCAGAACCGGCTGTTTGAGAAACCTTTTTAGTTTAGATTGCGAAAAGCGTGGAAAGCTTGTTTGCCAGCTACGCAGATATCGTAAGGGTACGCTTAACAAAACACTCGTATGTGCTTGAATTCCTTGAACTACCAACAAAACAAGAGCTCGGCATAATGGATCTTCAGTTTCTGATTGCATGTAATTCTATATAAACGCATTGCCTATTAAGCAATTATTATTTTACATATTACGTTGACTAAATCGATCCAAAAGCGGGTTAAGCGGCGATCCAACTGCCGACCTTAAAACGAAGATAACTTACATTCGATGGGGGAATAAGACGGTATCATATACATATATTTTGATTTGATATAATGTATTAGTGTTATGTATATATGTATGTATATTTTTGGAGGTATATGGACCATCCTCTATGTAAATAAATATAATTGAGTTGGTATTGAGGTCCGAATCTCATTTTGCGTGTAGCACACCACGATCGTACGCTCCGACGCCCCTTGTGATTACAAAGCATACTGAATTACTGACCACCAAACAATAAAATTAACAATTAATTCTATCAAAATCCAAGGATATGAATAAATCTTATAAAATTATCATAGAATATTATCTCAATGTGTTTTTTAGTTACATAATTTTCGAATAACCTATTTTCATGTCTAACGAAATCTATAACAAAATATACTTTAAAATCTTGTTCACATTTCACTCCTACACCATAAGTGAGGGAACCCCTGAAATTCGAAAATCTCCAACAATAGCCTAATCGAACAAAGCAAATATACAGGACAAAAGTGTTTTTATAGTTTGGCAAAAGAGAAAAAAATCCAAAAATGGTTATAGTGCGAAGCGGTTGTATTTGTAAATAGGCAGGCAGGTAGAAAACGTTGTAGGTGTATTTACGAGCCCAACGGTTTAAAAGAGTTTTTATACCATTCAAATTCGAAATAAAAGATTACGATGCACCTTTCAAAATTCCCACCGTGATTCTATTTATTATGACATCACGGTATAAGAATTAAGATTGTAGTATTAGATCAGGTGTAGGCGATCATAATTTTCTGTACACTATACCACTGTCATGATTAAAAATCACTGAAGATAGTATTTCATTCAGACTATAAAACATATAATATATTCAAAACACTCAACGTATTACAACGGTTGAATACATTAACTTTTAAAACACCAATACATTTTTAAGCTTAAAACGGAATACGAAAGCCACATACATATTTAAATAGGTTTGGAGTGGATCTAAACACTTTTAAATAGGTATTCACGGCTAAGGAGGCGTGAGGCAGTTTAAAAACTCGTTTATGAATATTCAAAACATGTGCCTATATTTAATACATAAGTTGGCCTGCATCTCTACCCCTTACATTATATACCCAACGGAATACAAAACAGGGCAGCCCTAAGCAACAAGTGGCTTATACGCAACAAAGAAACCACAAAAACAGTGAGCAGGTAGCGTTATAAAGAGCAAACGATTTATAACCATGTGAATAAGATAATAGGACCGGTTTTTGTTTGCCACTACAGTATTGAACTTGTCGAACGATAATCATCTTAATTACAAGGACCAAAGACTCGTTTTTCTTGATTTCTTTAAATATAATGGGAGCTATACCACTAGTCACACCACTTAGCCGAGTCTGCTCTTTACCCCTGCTGAGATTTGAAAAGGATTTGACAAATAATAACGCGATTTATATAAGATATAACATAAATTAGGTATAATTTTTAATACAGACCAAATACGAATATAGGCAAGTTAATCATCTTCTTACTGGCTATTATTATAAAAATATTATTTTTGATAATTAATTATAATTGAAACTATAATAAAAAATACTTACAAGATATTTGTATGAATATTCTATATATAATTATATTGATAATTAGCCGATAAATTCTATTAAGTAATTTCGTGATAGCGATTTCCTAATAAAAGCAACTTTTACTTTTAGTACCAATGAGGCGAAAAGCGAGTTAGATAGGATTTTCATTCTACGATTATCTAACTACCGGGTTCTATATACCGAAGAGTTTGCCTATCAGAACGAATATTCGTAAAGAATTTACGATTACTAGCCAGCAAAACCCACAAGGGAAATGTTAGTTGCCTTGTAAAGCTATGCTATGTTGGACAAACTTGAATAACAACCTCGTTTACAACGTTATATTTAAAACAGCTTCAATTTAACCGAACTGTTATTATTAACTAAGTATTTAAACACATGGCGAGATTTTATATATGAACTTTGTTGCACGAGTTATGCCTACCTCAACAAAATACACATTAAAAATAAATAATTAATATATTAAAAATGATAATTAAAACAAATATTTAATACCAGCAATTTAAAGCATAGAAAGTATTTTAAAAATCTATATACCTATATTTCTTTTATCTATGGCATTGTAAAATATTTCTACGAGAATAAGGAAGAAATGTCAGTTACGTATGATTTATTTTTTGCATGTCATCACAGTATATGAGAATATAGGGTATATCTAATTGTAATAATTGCATATTTTATTTTTAAGTAATGTATTAAATGGAACTAAAAAAACGTATGTATTTTGTTTTCAAGGCAAAATGAACACATTAATTACATGGAAAATTAACATATCAGTCATTTAAAAAAAAGATACAAACTAGAAACTACCTATTTAAAGTAACGACCACAACACTGAATATATAGGTTATGTTAAGTTACTTTTGAATTCCAGTTTGTTGAAAGTTAAAGACTAACTTCGAGGGTATTTATGAGACGAAAAACATTTGCTTGAACTGTAGGTGTTTTAAAAACTACGAGTTAAATAAACTTTGCTTACCTTCAAGAACAGATCACCAAAGTCGTACAGCGCAGACTGATGCATTATAGCAGTAGACATTATGTACAAGTAACTGGACACTAGTTACTATCCAGGATTACAGTCTTCGTTTTGGATTTTTAATGTTGTTTTTATCCACAGGGCACGAATTCAAATGGTTTTATCCACAGCAATTTAAGATATGAAAAGTTCACGATATGTCAACAAGAATTTTAAGTAAACATTTGTAAATACAATAAAATATATGTTCTCAAAACGATGCGTTTTTGTTTTTTCGTTCGGTGACCACAGATTTTAGTCCGAACTAGTTGGCCGAGGGCGATCTTTTTTTATAATGCCCTCCACTGTTGATAGCCAGCTTTTTATTTTTTATTATTATTTTTTTGAACACAATTTCGCAAATTATGCGAAAATGTACAAAACAGTCCTTTGTTTCGGAATCCTCTTCACTTTTTTCGCGTCTATACGGAAATTCACAATATCGGTCAAAACTTTGCACGAACTATCGAAGTAAACTTTAGACAAACAAAAAAGTAAACTCTTTATTTGTCCAACTTAATACTCGAATGTTATAATTCTGGCTGCATGGGACGCAATTAAAAAAAAATGATATCGCAGTTTTCAAAGTCCGCGCAAAACGCACCACACGTTCATTCCGTATCACGCTTGCTCGCGCACTGAGCCTGCGATTCGGTTCGCCCGTGACTCGTGAGCCGGCAACGGGCGGGTGGATTTTGTTTTCAAATCAAACAACACGATCACGTTTTGAAGCGAGATTCGTTTTCTACTCAGCTGCGTTCGGATGATGTCGGCGATATTCGGCGGTCTGTTTTGCCTTCCCGCCACAATAAAAATGATAAAACTCACAGAGCACATCGTCATCATCTTATTTTGAAATTTTCTAGTTTTATTACATTTATAATTTCTTAACCTTGTTTACCAAGTGTTTTGATTGTAACGTATAATTCTATATTATTATCTGTGTACGTATAAGTTTATTTTATCTCTTTTATTGTTGTACAATCTAGAAGGATAAAACGTCATATCGCCTTTAAAGCTATAATTTTACAATTAAGATAAATCTGAGAATTCTATGTATGCATAGAGATTTCCTTCTTCATGTTGATATCAGTAAAAAATCATCAGTATATATTCAATAATTTCAACTACAGACAAGTAAGGGATTATTTGTATTTACAAAATTCATTTTAAATATTCCTCTGTACGTTATAATTTATTTCTCGACTTTATTTGTTTCTTCATTAATGTCATTAGGTTGTTATTACTAAAATTGTTACGTTTACGATAGAAGTAACGAACTCGCAAGTTTTTAATACTCTCTACACTGTAACGCTATGTACATATATATTTTGGTAAGGAAGTGCTAAAAAATATACGGCCAGAACGGTGAACAAACGCAAAAACTTGTAATTTTAGAGCTGGTTCGACCAATCGAGTATCCGCCCTCGCCTGTTTCAAACACGCGATTATCAATAAGAGAAGCGTTGTTCATTTAACAGAAAACAAACTTAAAATTAAAAAAAATAATCGTATTATTATTTGAATAGAACGTTGCTTAATATTAGGATTTTAATTTTTTTTAATGAATATAAAATCTTTTACGTATAATGAATTGTCTCAAGATAGCTCCGTTAATCGCTAAGTTTATTAATGTGCCAGCATTCTTAGAGGCGTCCCTCGAGCAACTTTTTATTATGGCATTCGTTGGTTGCAAACCCGTTTGACGGTTTGTGTTATGCCCTGTGTTGCACCGAGCTTACGGGAACACGACTATAAGACCTATGCCTACTAATTTTTTTTTTTATTTCACAGACCATTGTAAATTGATATGACTCACAACGGACTGTTGACATTCGGTCCATATTTTTTTTTTTAGAATTCAAACAAAGAAGGTTTTATATGATTTATCTGAATTCTTATTTTCGGACGAATGAAAGTATGTATTGATGACAGTTATGAAAATAATAGGTTTTTATTTAGATGAATAAATTTATTTTTTAGTAATATTAACAATTAATAATAATTTATCGATCTCATAGAAAAACAATATCAACAATAAGAAATGTTACTCATCATAGTAAAAACTGAAGTGGGCTTATATAGCTACTGGCATGTTTTTTTAATATATAATATTAATCATACATATAAATATATGCCACGGAAATATATCAATATAGAAGACATCTCAATACTATTTCTATTATGAATCACATAATTTAAAATATTTATCTAATAGTTATTAAAATAAAATATAGTAAGGAATTGATGATTCTTCATTCCGCGTTATTATGTTATTGAGAAACGTGATATTTCCATATATATTTATTATATGTTATTATTTACTTTAGTTTACGTAATATAATATATAGCATTTGTTTCAATGAAGCTAAATAAGCGACGAGTCCAATATCCTCTCATGGGAAATATTTTGAAAGGCGAGTTGTAATATAAGATATCGCAACTTTTAGGGTTCCCTAGGATTTTCTATAAAACAGACTATACTAGCTTTAGATAAATAAAATAGTATGGGATTTCTTCAACATTATCATTATAACTTACGCTTTACATAATTCTAACGATCTCCAATCACATACATAAGGTATAGAAAACTATAATTGTATCAATAATTAAATATATCTTTGAACATATCAAATAAGATCAAGTCATAGATTATATAAAAAATAGATTTTATTCATATTAATATGCGGAACATTGTTATATATGTATACGCATTGTTTTTGTGTATAAAGACAGTGTCGAATATCGGTCACGTAATGCTTACTCCCATTCGCAATATTACGAGGCACAATACAATGTTTAAGAAACACTGATTGCTGATAAAATAGGTCGCATACAGTGCAAAAATTACTGGCTGTACAGAATTACATATTGGTTTACGTTAAAATTAAAAAAAATAACTGTCATTCCTGTCATTTCTGACATATTGATTGAGCTTAGAAACGAAAGAAAAATAAATGATAGGAAATACCTATTCATACTTATATTTTTATAGCGCACATTACCTATTCTTTAGAAGAGGTGATTTTTATTGTCAGCTTAAAACAAACACCGTTTATGTTAACCGTTACTCATGACACTAAAGATTTTCATCATACAAAATTTGTTTTGTTATAAACCATTCATTAATGAATATTTCCAGACAGTTCGGGACCTTTGGTAATTCGGACTATTAGACTCCATCAGTGGAAAGCCAAAACATTGACTTTGCTTACTGGCGAGTCAATTAATATGCCTTTCATTTGTACTAACCGTTTTCTCATAGCTACAGAGCTTATGCTTTATAGCTTGTTTGGTATCTAGCCGAGTAGTTTTTGCCTCTTCCAAAATATAGTTCTAAACAAATTTTATATATGAGTATCAAAATCCTTATAATATCGTTCTTCTTATAACTTTTATGTTTAGTAGAAAGATTAAAGCAAAAGTTTTTGTTTAAGCCCAAAACTATTCAGAATAACTTAAATAACATATAGCTTTACTATAACTATTGTATTAATTCCATTTTGCAACTATGTAATTCTCATTTAATTGTAATTGTATTAGTTTATTTATGTAATCTCTCCAACTTAACCTAACCTAACCTGCTAGTAATATACTGGTTTATTGTTAAACTAACAGGAAACGGTCGTAACAATACCGAAGATGGTAATAATAATTTACTTAGACACCGCTGTAAACTTAGGCCTGTCATAAACTAAAATTTAATCCCTTTTCATAAAGACCTCATAAAACCTTCTCGATAAAACAAAAGCCTTTCTCGAAATTTTTTTTTTAGAACACAAAAAAAAGGTTCCATAAAAGTTGCCAGCCATTAAATTCTCGCAAATAGGTCAACGAGACCTTTTAATGTTTTTTTTTAAAATTCATTACAGTTTTATGTTAAAAAAAACTACATATAAACTTCTTTTTATTAATACACCACCATCATCTATAACTTTTTTAATCCCCGAGCACTGAGATAACTACCTTCACGTTAATTATAGTATAGAAGATTCTAGAAACTAATTTCTATGTTGAATTACCCATCAGTCACTGCTTGTATTTCAATGGGGTCTGAGAATTGCACGGAGAGTGATGGTTTTCACGTCTCGACAGACATGACTTGGCGTATCAGCCTTGGGTCGTTGTCTGCGAAAAACTACATGAAAAAAAAACAACATCCCTTTAAAAACACACCTCTATAACTTCTTTAAAAGAAGACATCTTGATTTCTTATCATACCAAGTAATACTCATTAACTTTATCAATGTTACATTTGTTAAATGTGAATTTGAATGGTATTATAATATCTAAAACATTTAAATGTAGCGTCGTGTTAAAATAAAACACTGGAAGGACAATAAAGGTGACTGCGTGTGGCAGACGACCTCCGTTAATGTGCAATAAAATTTTATATCCAATTTTAGCAACAGAACTTATGACGTTTCGCAATCGAATATAATGTAACAACTAGCTGTTATGTATAGAAAATAATGTTGTTCTAAATACACATGCAGTCATAACATGCAAATTACAATATGCTTTTTCTGCTAAATATTTCGACCCATATATTTACCCTCAATTCTTATGGACCTAAAATCTGTCATTCTATTTAAGTTCCAGCTCCCGAAACAGAATTATTGAAAGCATAATAAATACAGGTTATATATTTTGAAAGAGTTTTACGACTAAGAAGATAATTCTTATATTTACATTAACATTAAAATACAACTTATACCTCATAAAAAACATGTAAAAGTCTATTATAATTCTTTACCGCCATTTACCTATACATTTGACATATGTCAAACCAAATGACACATGGGGCATAGCTTATATAATACAGTGAAAAGTAAGGCATCTGTAATTCAGTAGCTATGTATGTGTTCGGTAATAAAATAAATCTATCGGAACGTGTTCGTATGCGGGTTTCATCTTATCGCATCGAATGTAACCAAATGTGTTACGCGATAAACAATTTTTGCTGCTCCAAATACTTATGCAATAACCTAACAGTGAAGTCGTATTGTTATTTTGATGGT